GGCCAGGCCCAGAGTGCTCATGGAGACTGGAGAAGGAACTGAATTCCTCTGGATGCAAAGGATCAGGAAGCAGTGGTGGTTCCCCAGGTGTCTGGGGTGCCAAGAGAAGGAATGGGACAAGACCCAGGCTAGGAGGAGAAACAGGCGGTGGAGTTGGGAGGGCGAATGCGGCTGGGGGAGTCAAGGTGCGGAGGGCTGCGTGATAGACTTACCCCAAGAGAGGCCTGAGGGCAGGAGAGTAGGCCAGGAGAGCTTGAATATTTTTTAACAGAGGATTCCAAACTATACTGCTCTTTCAAAACTCAGGACAAGAAGGGTGCCCAGCAGGGCCCAGAAGCTGGGGTCACAGCAAAGTTCAGGAGACTCCAGCCAGTCACATCTAAAGAAAACCGCATTTGGCATGTTTATGCTTAGCAGCTTTTAAAAGGAACACTTTAAATTTGCTTGAGGCAGAAACGATGGGAGAGTCTGAGAAAGGAGAAAATGAGAGAGAGAGAGAGAGAGAGAGAGAGAGAGAGAGAGAGAGAGAGAGAGAGAGAAGAGGGCTGGGAGAGAGACCTGAGGGTTGGACAGATGCCTGCAGGTCGAGGGAGAGGAGAGAGAGAGAGAGAGGGAGAGAGGGAGAGAGGGAGGGGGAGAGGGGGAGAGAGAGAGAGGAAGAGAGGAAGAGAGAGAGGAGAGAGAGAGAGCGACCTAAGGGTTGGAGAGATGCCTGCAAGTGTGAAGGCCCAGGGAAGCAGAGGGAGGTGAGGGCTCCTTTAAGTTTTTTAAGTAATGTAAATACAGTAACTTACCCCTGGGTATTTTGACCTTTATGTAATAATGTTAGTCTTTAAAATTTATTTAGGTGTGGGCAAGAGAGATATCTCTTAAAATTTTTATTTAACTGAAATATGAAATAAAATACACTTTTGTCCAACTAATCAAGTAAGTATAAATTCTTCTCTCTTTTTTGGGGGGCGGGGGCGTGGTTGGTCTTTTTTGGACAGAGTCTCCCTACAGCCCCAGCTGGCCTGGAAACTCAGAGAGATCCGCCTGCCTCTCCCTCTCCAAGTGCTGGAATTAAAGGCGTGCACAATCATACCTGACTATAAATTCTTATCTATAGTTCAGAAAAACCTTTTAAATTCAAAGCTGTTAAACCTGAATCTAAATAAATTATGTAGACATTTAATTGAGATTACTACTGTGTTCATACTTGTCTGATCATGGTAATGGGTTTTTTTAAAGTTACCCAATTAAACTGCATCATTCTTTAAAAATTTATAATACGCTTTACCAACAGATTTGAAACTAAACCAGTTTTTAAGAATTTTAAAGGAAGAATCTTTAATCATGTTTTCTTAAAAATCTTACCACTCTATAATAAATGTTTCTTTAATAATTTAAACTGGTAAAGGTGATTCTGTGTTGACACATTGAGTTCTGTCTTGTGCCATTTTTTAAATAAATCTTAATTTCATTACAATTTTCCAAACAAACACAGAAGTAGAACATTGGATACTAAGTGCCTGGGTCCTTTCACCTCACTTCAGCCATCATTAGTCCCTGCTGAGCTTGTTTGATCATTCCTTCACTCTCCGAGCCTTCATTTTTATTTCTCCAGTATTTTAAAGCACATCCCAGATAGAAATTTGTGTTTCCTCCCCTCCCCCATGCCATCCTCTCCGTCCCTCCCTTCCACCTTACACATGCTACATTAATTATTCACCCCTGAGCTACATCCTCAACCTTCACTTTTTTTTGTCTTCTTGAGACAGGGTCTCCCTGTAGCCCCAGCTGTCCTGGAACTCACTATGTAGACCAGGCTGGCCTTGAACTCACCAAGATCTGCCTGCCTCTGCCTCCTAAGTGCTGGGATTAAAGGCATGAGCCACCACACTCGGCCCCTTCACTTTTTAGTTTGACATAAGATCTTACTGAGTTGCCCAGACTGGCCTTGCACTCACTCTGTAACCATGGCAGGTCTTCCATTTGTTATTCTCTCATCTCAGCCTCTGGAGTACCTGTGATTACAGGCTTGTGCCATCAGAACTGGCTGACTAAACATGGGTTTTCAATGAATTTTCTCCTTTCTGGCTTGAAAAACTTTTTTGGTAATGAGACCAGAAAATAGTGAGGTTGAGATTTCCTTAAATAGGTATTTCTATAATCTGTCCCATTTTGTCTGTTTTGTTTTTGAGACAGGGTCTTTACTTTGTAGCCCAAGTTGGTGTTGAACTCCTGCCTTAGCTCCTCTAGTTATTTCTTGTTTAAATAAATTTCTAAGAACTAAAGAATGTATTTAGATCATATTTGATAAGTTACCATGTATTTTAATCTTTTGTAGTAAGCAAGCTAAATATATGCTATAAATAGGTGTGTATATTTCTTCATCAGTCTTAGAAGAAATTTTTTGTTGTATGTGTCCTTTGGTTTTCAGTTGGGTGAAACAGATTTGAACTATCTTATCCAGTCACACTTCAATGACATTAACAGATGTGTAGGTTTTTAACAGTCGGCTTATGTTAGTCTTAGGCCATTACTTTATATTGTCTGAGGTTCAACTAAAACGTAAACTGTATGGGAATGTATATGGAATTGTGCAGGAAAGGGAAGGATGGATTTTGAGCTCAATAATAGGATTTGTTTTCCTTGTTTCTGACTCCAACATTTATTTATTTATATGTGTGTGAGTATTTTGCCTACATGTATGTAATTGTACTTGTGTTGTATAGTGCCCACAGAGGCCAGAGGAGGTCATCAAATCTCTTGTAATTGGAGTTACAGTTAGCTACATGGGTGCTGGGAACCAAACTCCAGTCCTCTGCTAGAGCAGCCTTAACCACTGACACTGAACCATTTGAGCCATCTCTCCAGCCAACCTCCACAATGCTTTTTTTTTTTTTTTTTGGTCTTTCTGAAGACAGGGTCTCCCTGTAGCCACAGCTGACCCTGATTCTCTATGGAGACCAGACTGGCCTCAAACTCGCAGCGATCCATCTGCCTCCCAAGTGCTAGGATCAAAGGCATATGCCACTATGCCTGGCTTCCTCCACATTTTTTTAGAATATTTTATTTTTTTATTTTATTTTATGTGTATGTGTGTTATGCCTGCATGTAGGTAAGTGCACCCATGTCGTGTAATGCCCGCAGAGGACAGAAGAAGCTGTCGGATCCCCTGGGACTAGAGTTACAGACAGTTGTTAGCCGCCATGTGAGTGCTGGGATTTGAACCTGGGTCTTCTGCAAGAATAGCCCGTGTTCTTAACCACTGAGCCATCTCTCCAGCTCCCCTCCCCATTTCTTAATCAGTTTTTATCAGGTCCACTTTAGTCCTTTATAAAGGTAGTAAAGTTTTGAACTGGAACTTAAATATAGATGACCACATAAAAAGATGATGATAGCTTTAAGTACTAAAGATTGTAAGATTTGTAAGTGCTGTATCTGTTATTGACAGAGGTAAGAAATATGAAATAACTATCTTACAAAAATGGCATAAAACCAGTGAGTTAGACTAAATTTTTATTTCATTTTTATTTTTATTTTTTTGGTCTTTTTTTGACAGCATCACCCAGTAGCCCCAGCTGGCCTGGAACTCACTATTGTGGACTAGGCTGGCCTTGACCTCACAGAGAGCCACCTGCCTCTGCCTCCTGAGTGCTGGGATTAAAGGCATGTGCCACCATGCCCAGCTTAGGCTAAATCTTTAATAAAAGTATTTAATAATTGAAATAGAATTTAATGGCCTTAGTCAAGGTATATGTTGCATTAAGTAACTTGCATTAAGTAATTTTTCTTGCTCTAGAATTATGAAAGTCAAATATTAGGGGTGAGTACAAGTTAGGTAGCTTCCTATCCTCATTGTATGGTAGTCAAATCGTATTGATAAAGAAGAAGTTCTGCTTATACCCTCTACCTTTTTAAAAAAATATATTTTTATTTTATGTGTATGAGTGTATTGCCTGCATATACATGAGTGCACCCATGTCGTGCAATGCCGTGGAGGTCAGAAGAGGGCTTTGGATTCCCTAGAACTGGAATTAAGGACGGTTCGTAGCCTCCATGTGGGTGCTGGGAATTGAAGCTGGGTCCTCTGCAAGAGCAGTCAGTAACTGCTGAGCCTGCTGAGCCATCTCTCCGACCCTTACCCTCTACCTTTTTGTGCTTGAAATTTTAAATATCAGTTACCTACGAGATGTGTGTGTGTGTGTGTGTGTGTGTGTGTGTGTGTGTGTGTGTTTGTTTGTTTGAAGGGGCAGTGTCCCCCCCATAGCTCACGCCCAGCTGAGTTGGAACTTACTATGTAGACCATCCCTCTCTGGCCTTGATTTCACAGCAATTCAGCTGCCTCTGTCTCCTGAGTGCTGGGATTAAAGGTGTGTATCCACCTTTATATATTTGGGGCTGGAGAGATGGCTCAACAGTTAAAACACTGGTTGTTCCTGCAGAAGACCCGGGTTTGAATCCCAGCACCCACATGGCAGCTAACAACTGTCCATAACTCCAGTCCCAGGGGTTCCGACAGCCTCTTCTGACCTCGGCGGGCATTGCACGATACGGGTGCACTTACCTACATGCAGGCAATTACACATACATAAAATAAAAAGAAAATAAAAGTTTAAAAAAAGTTTAAATATATATATTTAATGAGTATATATTTAGTGTTTGCTTTCAGTCTAAAGGCAATGAGAAAGTTGACTGCTTAACAAGTAAGTTTATCATAAACTTTGGCGTTTAAATATTATTCTGCTTGCCTACAATTTTAGCTAATGAGTCCAGAATATTTTAGGTGGCATCTTCTAAGGATACGTGATAACAATAGCCAAGTAGTCAAGGGAGCATTAGAACATTCAGGTGCACCACTTCTCATATCAGTGTGTATTAGCATTCACACTTGTAGTTTAACTGGAATGTATAATATGGCCAGTGTCTTTGATCTTTGCTAACTCATTTCATAGTTACATTTTATTTATCATGAACTTAATTACATTCTTCCCTCACTCCCCTTATTTCTTTAGGTACTCAAAGAACAGTACCTTGGCTACAGGAAAATGTTCTTGGGAGATGCTGTAGATGTGTTTGAAGCCAGGAGAACAGAAGCCAAGAAGTGGCAGAACGCACCCAGAGTTACTACTGGACCCACTCCTTTCAGCACCATGCCAAACGCAGCAGCCGTTGCCATGGCTGCAACACTTACACAGCAGCAACAGCCTGCTACAGGTCTGAATGCATTCAAGTTATAGCTTCTTACTGTTCAAATGCAGAGAACATTATGTGCATTTTTATAAGTCTTCCTTTTGTGTGAGCTGGCAAAATTTCTATGACTAGCTGTTCCAATACACACTGAAAATCGTGATGGACACAACTATAAACATACCTTATAAAAAACCCAGGGTAGTCTAGCAATAATTACACATCAGATATTGAATATTGTGAATTTACTTACTGTTATTTACTGTATTGCTATAAATGCCCTTTAGAACATGGTGTTTCATTACTGAATTACATTTACGATAATATTAGATTCTAAAATTGTGATTGTATAATTTGTTGTTTTAGTCAGATAATCCACCCATACCTTGCATTTATATATACTAATAGGTGGTGCATTCTTGTTCTCTTCATGCATAATAATGCAAAGTACTTGCATTCAGGATGCAGTACGCTTTTGTTAGCTGAAAATCTGTTGAAGATATGTGAAGTGGTTTGTTTGTATGTACTCAACTAGAAACAATACAGGTCCTCTAAAGAGTCTAAACCAAATTTGAGAAAGATACATGATAGGGTTTTTGTAACTCCAAAATAGAACAATACCAAGATCAGGAAGAAGTTTTGAGATTGGATTGTACAGCAAGTAGGACCTTAGTTGGTTTAATTCAGCTTCCAACAGAAACATGTTTGTGGTATAGTTCTATGGTGTTTTTATTTGGACTTTTGAAAGTTGATTAGTTGCCTTATTCCTGGTAGTTTTTTTAATCAAGTTTGAAGTGTGACAGAAAAACTCTTAATGGTTAACTTTTTTCCGCTTGATCATTCATAATTTTTGAGGAGACTTAAGTAGCATGTGTCTTTCTGACAATTCCATATAATCCAGTAGTAAATTACAGTATTAAAGTGAAAACAAAACAAAAATGCATATTTAGGTTGCATTCAGGCTGCCCGTACTCACTCCAAAAGCATGCTCTGGTCACTGGTCTTCACTTTTGAAGGTGGTAACATTGACCTGCCATCAGTCAAAGGTTGTTGATGGTTTAAGCCAAACCTTCCACGTTTCATGGCTGGATCATTGTGAATAGTGGTTCCCATAAGCACTGTCTAGTGGCTCTCTAATTAGCTAGAGCATAGGATTCTGTTCTCAAGTTGTAGGGGGAGGGGTTGAGAAATGGCTCAGCGATTAAGAGTAGTGGCCACTCTTCTAGAGAACCCAGGTTCCAATTTCCAGCACCCACATGGGTCTGTAACTCCAGTTCCAGGGGATCCAATGTTATCTTCTGACCTCTGGGCACTGTACAACACAGGTGCACCTACCTACACAAAAGTAATACACTCATACATATGAAATAAAATTTTTTTTAAAAGTATAGGTGGAAAAGTCATTGTGGAATTGATTGCTCTGAACTATCAGTCCCATAGTTATGATAATCAATTCTCATACTTAACAACTAATCATACCCCAACTATAATACCAGTTTTAGAGTTAGTGTTCATTCTGAAATAGATCAGAGAAGGGTGGGTTTGGATAAGTGTTAATTAACCATAATTTATCTCCAGTAGAATATATAAAGCTTGAGAAAAGTGAGTTAAACTCTTGGCTTGAAAGTTGATCTATTCTATGGCAAATAGCTAAACATGAAGGAAAGTTATTTGTTGAAGTCTTTTCCCCTTTTTTATGTGGACTATAGAATCTTGAAGTTTGTAGGGCATGGACATGACGATAAATGATTATTCTATAAATATGAGTGCCTCCTGTGAGCTAGGTTGCTAAGACACAAAGGTAGACAATACAGGTGTAGCCATTGCTCTGTGTGGTGTAGAAAATATTTGCTTAATTTGCAGTGATTCTTGGGAGCCTTTTGCTCATGGGCTTTGATTTGTCTATGACTTTGGTGGGGGAGGTTTGAGGCAGGGTCTCCCAGCTGTCCTGGAGCTAGAGGAATTAGGGAGACCAGGCTGGCCTTGATTTCACAGAGATCCACCTGCCTCTGCCTCCTGAGTGCTGGGATTAAAGGTGTGCTGGCACCCAGCTTGTCAATGACTGACTTTTACTGAGCTTTTGTGGGTTTGTTGTTGTTATTGTTTGTTTGTTTGTTGCCAGGGACAATTGACTGCTTTTAGTATTCTTATAGTTTCTAGAGTTTTTAGGCTTTCAAAGTGGCAAGAATTGGAATTTATCAACCCAAACCGAATGTTTTAACTTCGAATTATTTGAAGTTATAGAACTGAGACTTTAATAGTGATAACAATTGTATATTGTTTCTTGTCCCTGTCATTTCTCTCAAGGTCACTCCTAGACTCTAGTCTACTGGCCATGACAGACCTCCTTCAGCCCTTAGCTCTGTCACCAGGACTTGGAGGTTTAAACTATTTAAGGGTAGAACCATCATTCACCCTATGGTTTTTAGGAATTTAAGTCCCATTTTAAAGTATCTAGATGGGGGCTGGAGAAATGTTTCTGGCTGCTCTTCCAGAGGACCTGGGTTTGGGTCCCATCACCCCTGTGGTGGCTAACAACTGTCTTTCACTCCAGTTCCAGAGGATCCATCGCCCTCTTCTGACCTCCATGGGCATTGCAGGACATGGGTGCACTTACATACATGCAGGCCATACACTCATACATAAAAAAATTAAATTAAATAATAAATAATAAACTAGATGTATTCTCGGTGGAACCTGTATACTGGTTTTATATATGAATATTGATCTGTAAAAGATGTGAGTTGTCAAAGCGTATTTGGTTTTATTTGCATATAGATTCTTGATTTCATTGATGTAAATAGGGACACAATGAATATAGCTTTTCTGAGATTGTTGCTTTTTGAAGGTAGTTTCTCTGTTGTCGTTTAAGAACTGGAAGGATGGGCTTAATGACTTTCTGCCCCCCCCCCTTTTGGTGGCACTGAAATTGAGTCTAGGACGCCTTTGCTAAGCATATACTCTGCCACTGAACTGCCACCCCAACCGATTCTTTTTTCAATAAAGCAAATACATAGTAGGGCTTCGGCATGTGTGATTATTATGGCTGTCTGTTGTGAAAGTTGAGTTAATGAAACCCAGCAGGTTGTTCATGCAGGAAATGGAGCATCAATACATGGATATTTTCCATGTTAGCAGATCTTGAGTACACTTGTCCACAAGTGCTCTTCAGCCCCTAAAACCTTAGTGCATTTTTAGTAGGATCTTCCATATAGTCTTAATCTAGGGTGGATTCTTTCCAGTGTACTAGGGTTGAATTTTGCCGTTGTGTTTCCCACTTAAAAGTTCTTTATGTTTACGTAAGATTTTTCTCACACGACTTAGCTGCTGTTTTTAAGGAGAGCTGAGGCATTTGTGAGGAGTTCTAGCTTTTAGTGAAGGTTTGGACATTTAAGATGTAGTGTTAAATCAGAAACTTTAAGTTTTTTATCTTAGTTTTTTGTGGTTTTGTGATTTTGTTGTATTTAATTACCAAAGGAACATTCCCCATTAAGTTAGTAAAAGTTCCTTAAAGCAACGGAAAGGCACTTCTGTTATTTTAAAAGCTGACTTAGGAATTAACCATACTAATTACATTAGGCATTTAAGAAATTTTAGCACTTTACTCCTTTTCCTTTCAATGTAGTTTTACATTAAAGTAATATTTACTTTAGAAAATACAGATGACAGTGCTAAACTTGATTTTGTTGTGTGTGACTACATGATGTGACGTTTGTAAAATGTTGCTTCATGTGGAGATTCCACTTTAGGCAATCATTGGTATATATTATTTAATTTGATTTATTTGTGGAACTAAGAGCCTCTCATTGAATGACTTCAGATTTTAAAGTGACTTGAATTGTTTACATAACTTCTACCTGAAGGATTTAGATTCTGCTTTCTAATAGTGAGACTAATTAATATATCTGGTGGCCAGAGTATATATTAATACTTTGGCATGAGAGATATTTATCATGAGTTTTTAATATTAAAAATGTTATACATTTGCCTATTAGTTTTATAAATGCTGTTGCCTTCAGAATTTGCATGAAGGTATAAAATTCAAAATATCTTGCATCTATTGTGCAATGAAAAAAAGTCTTGTCTTTGATAGATGAGTTTTTGATGTCCTGAATTTGATGATTAGAGAAACTGTTCTGCTGTTCTTAAAAATGGACCCACACACAACAAAAACCATGCTATTTGAGTAATTCTTAAGGTTGAGGACTGTGGTGTGCACTATTTAGGGTCTTCCACCAGCAGTGCCTCCTATTAAAATGTGATAGTCTCCAAATGTTAAAGAAACTGGACATGTGTTTTCTATGTGTTATTTTTGTTAGACATAAGAAAATGATATGCTGTTTCTTTTTCCTATTGTAACATTTTACAGAAGAGCCGCTAGTCGGGTCTTTATTCTCAAATTAATCTCAAACTGGATGTAAAATTTTAAATTTTTTAACTTATTTTTTTAATAGTAGTGTAAGAACTCTGGCTGCTATTAGGTTGTATTCTTTGTTTTCTGGATAGAAGCTATTTGAAAAGTTCAGTTTCTGTCCCAGTGTAGCAAAATGTAGTTCCTCATGTTGTTGTTGTTTTATAATGCTTTATAATTTTACACTACCTTTTGAATATACAAACCTCATTCTTTATTGGACAACTTGAAGGCTTTGATTTCTTTAACAATTTAAATTTTGACATGCGTATTGCTTTGGCATTCCCTTAACTTTGAGATGCACTGAGCACTGTGCTTGAAAAAGACAAGACTGAAGATTGTACTATGACTTTATTGAGTGATTTTTCACAAATTATTTATCAAATGAGAGATTTTTAGATTTTTGTATTCTTAGTTAAAAATAAAAAAGTAGTTGAAATGAGGGGCTAGTAAGTTTGATGCTGTTCTTGCCAAACAAACTCAGCCAAAATCTTTAAAGTGCAGGTGGGAGAGGGATGACACGTTGCTCTGTGTTGGAGTACGTTTTCCAGAATGTTGGAACGGAACTCTGAAGCCTGGGATGTATTAATCTGTCAAGGTGCACAGCGTGCCTTTGTAAATGTTCATTTTCCATCTCATTTAAGCAGGTGATAGTGGTCAAATGTAGCAGAGCTTAAGAATAGAACTCAATTATCACTTCTGTGAACAAGTTGGAATTGTCTGTTACTGTGTAATTGGTTTGCTTTTAAAATGAACAATAAATTAAATGAAATAAAACATTGTCTTGTTTTTTTATCTGTTTGTTATATGTAACATTTCTATGCCATAAGAAGTCATGCCTAGTTTGGGGGGTACCTTTATGAAGTAACATGAAAGTTTTGCCATGTTACTGTCAGTATCTCGATCAATTGGGACTTGACAACACTGAGGAACTTGTTTTTTAAAAAGGGGAAATAAAAATTCTTACACCAAATAGCTTTATCAGAAAACAAGTCTCGGAGCGACCTAAAATAATTCTAGAAGTAAATATAAAAGGACTATAATTTGTGGTGCATTAAATATTTCAAATTATTAGTAGATTAAACTTTCTAACTTTTTTATTGTGGTAAGCTCATTTAATTGTAGTTCTGAGCAGATTAATTTTAAAAAGTTTTTAGATAAATCATTTGGGACAGATAGCTCAGAAAGACAAGATCTTGATAAAGTAATCAATGTTCAATTTAAAAATAATTTCATAAAGGAACTTTAATCTTGAAAGAGTAAGGCAAATTTGTTTTTTTCCCTCCCATTTTTTTTCATACCAGGGCCACAGCCATCTCTGGGAGTTAGTTTTGGAGCGCCATTCGGCTCAGGTCTTGGCACTGGCTTGCAGTCAAGTGGCTTAGGTTCTTCAAACCTTGGAGGTACACTTTAATTTTTCTAATATTTCATTCAGCTGTTACATTGCACTTATAGTAAAAAGCCTGTACAGAATTTCTAAGAGGATCTGCTGCTATTTTGGAAGTTAAGGTTCCATCTGGCAAAAATGATTCTCCAAACATAATCATTGCTTTCTAGTGTTAGATTTAGACCTTAAAGAGCCATTCTATCCTCTATGTTAGTAGGAATAAAAAAGTATTAAAATTAACTTTCATATTTTCCAATTAGTGTGCTGAGATGTGAATTTGAGAATTATTTAGTTTTAATAAATTTAATTTTAATTGTATTTTAAAAATTAATCCTAATACTAACTTTGGAATCCATTCTACTTCTGGATCATATGCAGTCTTCTAATATCTTTCTTTTTACCTGAAAATAACCACTTTAAATGGGGGAGGTCATTTTGTTGCAAATCAAACAGCTTGACTTCAGTCCATTTCTGTGCATTTTGGCATATTTGACTGTATACATAAGCAATTGAGCTTATTGTAATAGTTCCATAAATTAGTAAGGTTAAATCTACAAAAACATGCTAAATATAAATGTATTCACAATTCTTTGGTGTGGATAATTGAAAATTGATTGTGTTTTGACAAGTGTTCTAGTGTAATGACTACGGTTCCTTTATTTCCACTAAACTATGAAAGGAGAGACTATAAGTTATTACAGTTAATACAAACTGTTCTATGTTAAAAATTTTAGTCATAATCCACTTAGCCACCGTGTTTCTTATAGGCAGTGGTTACTGTCAGTCTCAATATTTTAGTAAGACATTGCAAAGTAACATAAAAGGAATTTGAGCTTGGTTGGGGATGTGTTTAGTTGGTAGAGTGGCTTGCCTAGCATGCATGAAGTCCTACGTTCTGTCCCTAACGCTGCAAAAACTGGGAGTGGTGGTGCATGCCTGTAAACCCAGCACTCAGGAGGGTAGAGGCAGGAGGATGAGGAGTGAAGATCATCTTCGGCTATGTGTATAGGGAGTTTGAGGCCAGCCTGAACAACATGAGATTCTCTCTCAGAAAAGAAAAGGAAAAGAAAAAAACCCAACACAAAAGAAGGATTTTGGACTTTATATGAGTACCTCTCATATATAGCTAGTCTTCAGGTACTTATATCTCTTCATTGACTTTGTGTGATGAAAAATATTCTAAGAGGAAAGGCATCACCACACTCCCAGTCTGTCAGTGTCTGTGGTAGCAGCATGGCGGGGACTGATAGGGTGCTGGGCTGCTTTGTAGTTAGTGGGCTTTCCTAGTATGGTGCAGGGTACACTTATCTTGAGGTACTTGGTGTTTACACTGTGTGAGTCATGCTTCCTGATGAATTTCGTCAGCCTTTTGATTTTTCCAAAATGAAACAATTCCTCAGTTATATTATTTCAGTGGTCAGAATTTCTAGTACATTTGTGAGAAAATACAAGTATGGTCTTGATTTTTAATGGCCTTGTACTCTTAATAGGTCATAAACTAGTCTAAGTAGTTAAAAATTAGCATATTTATTTCAGAATTAATTGGTTCAAAAAGTCTTATGCAAAGGAGTAAAATCAAGGATTTCCTTAAGAAGCCCACGCTTGTCAGTACTGTATTTATTTGGACCTTTGATAATTTTCGCTTTTACTTTCAAGTATTCTTTATCTGTGTTTTATGTATCGTTGTATATTTTTCTATTACCCTCCACTAGGATTTGGAACTAGCTCTGGTTTTGGATGCAGCACCACAGGGGCCTCCACATTTGGATTTGGAACAACAAATAAACCCTCAGGAAGTCTTAGCGCAGGTTTGTGTGTTTCTGCCTGAATTCTAGGCAAGTTTAAAAGTGCAAATTATTTAATTTAAAATTATAAGCGTTCTTATTTCCAGTAACTCCAGAAGGTCTTAATTCAGTTTCTACTATGAGGAAGCATGTGAGGCTAACTTTGTGTTAGCGCATGTAGCGCTTTGTGTAGCGCTCTCTTGCAAAGTAAAGTGGAGGGGTATGTAACAAGACTTCTTAGTTTGACTTGATAATTATAAAGTCTTAAATAAGTGGAGTTTCATTTCCACCCTAATGACTAACTTCATGATTAAAGTGGTTTTCTACCCCCTCATCATTGCAAAGGTGAACCCTTTATTGTGAAAATTTCGCCTGGTTTTGTTATTATTTTGTTCATTTTTCATCCAGGATAACTTTTTGTCAGTTTTTGGTACTGGGTCTGAAATCTAGGCCCTCATCCATGCTATGTGAGCACTGCACCACTCAGCTGTCTCCCCAGCCCACTTTCCCTTTTTTATTTTGATATAGGGTCTCACTAAGTTGGCTTAAGCCTTTTTGTTGTTGTTGTTAATTGTAGGCCTGGCACCTGTGATACAACCAAGGCAGGGTGTACCACCATACAGTCTAGCTAGGAGAAACATTTTTGCATTTTTAGTCTGAAGAGATATTCTTTGGTTATTAGTCCAGACTTTAAGAATACCACAGCTTATGAATAATGACTAATTTGGTTCTTTGTTTCATTTTTAAATAGGTGTGGTCCTGTGATTCTTCTAGTAGAAAATAGAAATTTGATACAACCAAGGCAGGGTGTACCACCATACAGTCTAGCTAGGAGAAACATTTTTGCATTTTTAGTCTGAAGAGATATTCTTTGGTTATTAGTCCAGACTTTAAGAATACCACAGCTTATGAATAATGACTAATTTGGTTCTTTGTTTCATTTTTAAATAGGTGTGGTCCTGTGATTCTTCTAGTAGAAAATAGAAATTTTTATCTTATTTATATTTATAAATAATGACTTGTTTTAATGTGTGGGGATAAATA